AGTGTATATCACACAAGACCTTCTCTGGATTAACTGTAGCAGAATGAAGCTCTACATACAACAGGGGCCTTGCCTGCCTCATGCACTATTGCATCTCAGTGCCTAGAACAAGGTTGGGCACAGAGCAGGTACTCAGTACATGTCTGCTGAATTTTAAGACAAAATTCACTACATTTGACTGGATCCTTTAGGGGAGAAATGGAAAGAGCCTCACTGCTTAGACTGCTTATTGACCAATAGTGTGTCAGTGAAAAGCACTGCTACTACATTTTAGACACCACCCAGTTAAATTCTGAGCATAGATAAAGCATGGTAGAACAGGGTAGTTTTCATTGTCTACAGCTTATCCCATCCAGAATGATGGAGTACACTTGTATGGTCACCCCATCTCCTGAGGTAGGTAATATCACCAATACTCCTTTACAAAATGATTCATCTAAGGAGGTACAGGTAATCAGCTACAAAGTTGGGAGTAATACCTATTTATTCTACTCAATGAAGCATGTATTATGTGCCTATGGCATGCTAGCACTGTGCTAGCTACTGTGGATATAGAGCTGCTGAGCTGGGCCTTTCCCCAAGAAGCTTCCCTGTCTTACAGGCTTCAACTCCCAGCAGGGTGAGTTATACACCCCTTTGCCAGAGCCATCAGACTCAACTTCCTTGGGAGCTTCTCCAAAAGGCTATGGCCTAGCCACCCTACTGTCCTTACAACTCCCTCTAGGCAGTGAGCGCCTGGATTTCTCTCCACCAACCTCCTCTGCTTTGTCAGTGCTGATAGTGTGATGATTCCATGCTGCGTAACCTCTAAAGGTTCTTTGACCATCAGGTTCTAATAATCAAAGCAAATTAGGTATGCTACTACTGAGAAATATTTTATGTTAAAGAACTGTCCCCCTTCCTCAAATTAAAGAAGATCATTCCAGCAATCTCCTCAAAGTGTGTACACAGCTACTGACCAGCAGAGAACTGTAAAGGTTAAGCTCTGGACACAGTCCACTCTCTAGCTAAGCAGCCCATCCCCTTCCAACCCAAACCTCAGCAAACCCACAAGTCAAACAGATTATAATCACTCAAAAATCTTCACTGGAGGCCAGGCACAGTAGCTCATGCCTGTAATCCCAGCACTCTGGGAAGCAAAGGCAGGTAGATTGCTTGAGCTCAGGAGTTCAAGACCAACCTGAGCGAGAGTAGTCCCTATCTCTAAAAATAGCTGGGCATTGTGGTAGGCGCCTGTAGTCCCAGCTACTCATAAGGCTGAGACAAGAGAATTGCCTGAGCCCAAGAGTTTGATGTTGCTGTGAGGTATGATGCCATGGCACTCTACCAAGAGCAACAAAGTGAGATTTTGTCTCAAAAAAAATCTGCACTGGAAGCCATAGGATTGCCAAAGGCCTCTGTCCCAGGGTCTCAGCTATGTGACTTAACTATCCACATCAGTAACTTCCCACTTTGTCATGCCAAGTAACATGTTACTCAATTAAAGCTTGTCTTTCTAAACAAAATGTCATATTCTTTTGTTGGAACATAAAAAGCTAATTTGATTATCAAAGATCGAAGTTTAAGGACTGAGTCCTCCACTTACTTGACCAAGTCCTTTAAATTTAGGCTGACAATATACCATCCAAGACAGGACATTGAGAATGAAAAGGGAGTGCTATTAATAATTACACCAGGAATAAGAAGCATAAACTAGGACTATCCCTGCCAAATCAGGAAACAAGGTCATTCTATCTAAATCCTTGAGTCTAAATTCCCTCATCTGCAAAATATGAATAAGGATCCCTACGCTTCCCTCCCAGGATGGACATGAAAATCAAGCAACAACCTATTGTATAATCAAGTGTTTTATAAGTAAAGAGGCAACTACATACATAAGATGCTATAGGATAATCTAAATGCAAACTAGCACCACTGAAAAATAATTGGTAGTTTTCCCACAATCAATTAGGTACATAAAATCAATTTCATCTGATCAGAGTCCCAGGGAAATCTGAGATCAAGGGCTTATCATTTTCAATGCTGCAACCCCAGGATCAGCCTGATGTCTAACATATCTTGAAGTAAGTGGATGCATACAAGTTAGTAATTTAAAAATTCTTTCACTGCCAAAATCTATCAAATTGATGAACAGAGTATGCTCAGTGGGCCAAGCCTAGTCTACAGCAGCTATGCATGGATCGAGTCCTCCAGTAAAATTTTAGTCTTGCCTGAACAAAACTTACATCATGCCAGTATTTCTACTCTTATCTCCTTGACATTTCTAGTTGTACTTAGACTGCTTCTTCTTTGGTTCTTAAGAAAAAAAAATGTGGATTCAATCATAAATAGCCAAATGTCATTCTATTCAGAGTTCAGTTTCCTGTATCAGCATGACCTCAGACTGGTTACATTTACAGTCCCGAGAAAGAAGCATTAACATCATAAAATGGTCATTCACTAAGTTTTCCACAGGGATGGACTACAATGACCAATACTGCAATGACATTTTTAGGGAGTGCTCTATGCACTCCAGGAGTGGCAGCAGGGTCCTCTGGCCTAGGATTTCTGAGTTACAGCTTCCCTTTGTCCCTGGGAGACATCACTTAGGCTCTGCTTCCTCTCTGTAAAATGCAGATGAGACTACCTCATGAACTTAAACTGAAGAGCAAATGCCAAGTGGGGAGTTATGTAAAATACACTTGCTGTACAAATTACAGGCAAGAATAGAAGATAAGACTATGAGGAGCTGGCCTAGTTCTGTTATGGACCAGCCTGAGGTTCATTTCAACAACAGACTGAACCCCTGCTTGGTGGCTAGGAACGCCCTCTGGAGGGATTGGGGCAAGTCTCTGATGACCATACACTAATGATGTGGTGGCTCCAGACAACATCTAGCTTTCTCCAGTTCCCCTCATCTCTTCCTAGTTTTTATTCTGTTTGAGAGAAGAGTGGGAAGCAGAAATAGAAAACTGCAACTTAAACATTTTTCGTCCAAGGTACTACTATGATTGGATTTGTTGACTTGCAGGCACTAAAATTCTCAACTTTTCCATGATACTATTAGAGTTTACAAATGACTTTCTTTGTAGTTTACCTAAACTCAGCTCAAGGTAACCCCCGCTAAAAAAGTCCTAATAATTTTGTCCCACAAAGTTGTGAAATGAGTACTCTAATTGTTCTGGGTGTTTGGTAAATAAAGTTTTATTAGAACACAGCCACACATTTGTTTATATATTGTCGATGGCTATTTCCACACCACCCAAGCAAGAACTGAGTAGTTTTAACTACAACAGTATAGCCCATACATCCTAAAATATTTACTATCTGGCCCTCTATAGAAAGTTTTTCAACCTGTGCTCTAACTTTACCTGCCTCAAAATAAAACAGAGAAGACTATAGTCTAAACCTGTTAAATAAACTACTTTTTCCTCACAACTGGCAAAGCCTTCACTGTTTAAAAAAAATCCTAACAAGTCTCACCTTTACAGAATCAGCATTTTTGTGTGTTGAACAAACCACCCCCCAAAAAAGTATTTTGAGATTTATCCTCATTGGGAAAAGTATATTTTCCCACATGCCCATAAATCAACTCTATGAACTAATTTTACCGACTTTTCAAAAATATTTATATATATTGAAGCTGAATCAACAAGTGCACCAACCTTAGTCCCCAAAGCAATTTTCTAAAAGCAGAACTACTTTTAAGAGTGAAGCCTAATGACACGCCTTCAAAATATATCCTGTATTTACTACATAAAATCAAACTTCTGTGACAATTTCTGACTATATTTATTGAAATGTATAATCCTTTCTAATATGAAATATTTTCTTTACTATTAATTTAAATAGCTCTACAAGACTAAATATATCTGAATGTGAGAAAAAGTATAAAAAAAAAAAAAGCAAAAGCAAATATCCAATTTCTGCTTTTAAATAAAAATGGGGTTACTCACTGAGGTAAAGGGTGAGGATCCTTTATTTACCAGCCCTTGACACCCCTTCAGATGGTAGATTAGTTTTGTATAGTCTGAATATAGTAGGAAAAATCTGTACATTAGAAGGATAACAAGAGTTCGTCCACCTTCCTTTCTCAGATGTTAGAGCTTTCTCCCTTGATGAAATAAGCTGGTGTTCTAAAGCAGGGATGAGAATGAAGACTTTAAGACACGGTGCCAAAAAAAGGAAACAAAAAGAAAAAGGTGAGCCATTCATAAAATGTAGGTTCTAAAAGTAATTGTATTCCTGAAATAAAACCCTAAACATCATACCTGTGAGGATGGTTCTCTCCATTGCTGCTATACTCCCTTCCCTAAAAGTTAATCCATTTATTCCAAGTTAGAAAATAAAAATTTAAGCCCTTCTCTGTTACCTTTTCAAATTAGTTATATAATAACTAATAATAACTAATAATAACTAATTTCTTCCTCAGAAAACTTCTGAACAGAACAATAACAAACTGCCCCTTTGGTCCTTCGAAGGGACCAAATGCATCTAATGCCTGACTCATAGGCCAGTCATAACTATGCACAAATTGTCCAGATAGAAAAACCTCCCACACCCCAAAGATACAAACCTCCCGGCGAACGACACTTGCAGTTCTCTCCAAGTGATCAGTTTTCCTTATGGATTTCATTATGCTTCAACAAAAAGTAAAATTAGGTAATTAAGCATTATCCTCACAAAATAATATTTTCCTATATTATCACAGTTACCCAAAATACATGACATCGTGGATCTACAAAACGGCCAATGAATGTTTCCACACTGAACTAAAGTTTAATGATCTAACAACAAGCATATTTAAGCCAAGTTGTTACCTTTTCCAGGAGTTTCACATGCTTCCCATAATTATCAGCAGGGTAGGTTTCTTAAAAATCAACCTCAAATTACACTGAAGGCTTAATGACTTACCTGGCTAGAGTAAGGTGGCGCAAAGTGCTGGGTGTCAGTCTCAGCAAAGGGGCCTGAGAACAGATGGCTCCAACTGAGCCCCTCAACAGCCGAGGAATCAAGACAGCAGGACACGCCATGGTACTTCCTGGGCAAACATAAAACTGAAATTTAAAATTATTTTATGAGGCTCAGCGCCCGTAGCACAGTGGTTATAGTGCCAGCCACATACACTGTAGCTGGTAAGTTCAAACCCAGCCTGGGCCCGCTAAACAGCAATGACAACAACAACAACAACAACAACAACAAAAAATAGCCAGGAGTTGTGACAGGCACCTGTAGTCCCAGCTACTGGGGAGGCTGAGGCAAGAGAATCACTTAAGCCCATGAGTTTGAGGTTGCTGTGAGCTGTGACGCCACGGCACTCTACCAAGGGCAGCAGCTTGAGACTCTGTCTCAAATAAATAAATTACTTAAATAAAATTATTCTAAGAAAAAGTACAGAAATATCAGATTATCTTAGGAGCTAGTGAAGAAGAGTTTGGATTTCTGTTGGTGCTATTATGAGTTGATCTACCAGCAAAGCAACCAAGAGCCTAACGTCATTTTGATAAGGTTTCTGCCACTATTCAGAGTTGATTCAAGGTATTGCCCTGGTACTTAAGGAGATCAGATAATTAAGTTCACAAACTGGCTTAGCGCCTGTGGCTCAAGTGGCTAAGGTGCCAGCCATATACACCTAAGGTGGCGGGTTCAAATCCAGCCCAGGCCTGCTAAAACAACAACAACGGCTGCAACCAAAAAACAGCCAGGCATTTTGGCGGGCGCCTGTGGTCCCAGCTACTTGGGAGGCTGAGGCAGGAGACTCCCTTGAGCCCAGGAGTTGGAGGTTGCTGTGAGCTGTGATGCCACAGCACTCTACCCAGGGGGACAGCTTGAGGCTCTGTCTCAAAAAAAAAAAAAAAAAAAAAAAGTTCACAAACTGACCCTAGAAAAAAAGCTACATACCTCACTGCTGAGTATCACTCTGGTCACCTTCACAGTAGTCCCCTTGGGAAGCTATGCACTGATGCCAGTGCCTCATCCATTCTTGGTCATCAGAGTTGCATTATACAAGGTTTGACAACGAAGTCTGCAAACACATCCTAGAAAAAGTGCTTTGACGGGTGGACTAGGTGCTGGTGTCGGTGCATGGCTTCCTGAGGAGAGTACTTCAAAGGTGATCATGGTGATATTCAGCAATAAGGTATGTAGCACTTTTTCTAGGATGAGTTTGTGAACTTAATTGTCCAACCTCATAAGTAAATAATTTTTGGTGCTACCAAATATTCATTTTCTCTACTGGTTTCCAAAATCTTCGACCAAGTTCATGTGACTGAGCTCATGCTATTATAGAAGAGGAGAGTAGATTTTATAGCTGTCTGATAATTGTACTCCACTCCACCTAAAGAGTGGAGTTATATCTTTAATATTTGTTACATAAAGTACAAGAGGAAGGCAAATTCACTGAGGGTCCCAAACATAAAAAGGCTAAGGTTCCCAGATGTTAAAAACCAAAGTAGACAATAATAACACTATTCATATAACAGCTCAAACTTGAAACAATCCAAATGACCATTCCTAGAGTAAAGTGGTTGTGATACATCTACACAACAAGACAAACTACACAATAGTGAAAATCAATAACCTGAAGCTATATGCAGTAACATAGATGAATATCACAAATATACCACATGAAAGAAGCCACACTTAAGAGAACACATAAAAGAACATGACTGATTCCAATCATACTAAATACAAAAATAGGCAAAATGAATCTATAGTTATTAGAAACCAAGTTGCAGTTTTCCTTAGGAGGTGGCAGTGATAATGTTGTTTCTTAACCTGGGTGCTGATTGCATGTAAAAAGCGATGAAGCTGTTTTCTTAGAATTTGTATACTTTTCTATTTGTACATTATGCTTCAATTAAAAAGTTTACCACATGTACACACAGAAAGATTCTCCAATATTTCAAAATTTAAAAACTAGTATCCTATCAAAAAAAGCACTGATTAGGAGTTGATGGTTTGTTTGTTTGTTTCTTTCATACCCCTTCCTATGTCAATCTTTAAACATTTCTTTGCCTAATATAGCCACATTTAACATCTTACGTTGCAATATCTGTCCTTTCCTATCTTAGTTACTTGAAGAATAAATAAAAATGTGAACATTTCTTTTTCCTCAGCTCTTTGGAAGGCATTATTTAAATTATTTGTAATAAATTTAGTTTTAGGAAAATATTCAAGCTAAGTGTGTTTACATTCCTACTCCATATTCATTAATTTAGTCCTTTATTCAACAAATATTAAGAGCCCAGTATGTGGCAGGCACTGGCCTAAGCTGAGAATACGGGCATGGAAAAAACAAAGACCATCTTAGAGAGCTTACATTCCAACAGAGAGCAACAGAAACTAAAAGTCAATGGATCAGGTGCTAAGATAAGTCATATGTAATTCATTCAGCTATACCCAAATTATATCACGAATACCATGCTTCATCTTTAGATGAAAGATCTATCTTCTTGCCACAGTATGATACACCACCATTGTGGATAAACATACTACTTGCTATTTTTCTCTCTAATAAATGATAACAACATAAGGCCTCTTTCACCTCATGCAAGAGCACTCACTGTAGCTCTTCCCGGTTAAATGTGCTCAAGGATGGTACATTAATCACTGAAAGAAGTTGAAACTTACTTTAGAAGTCCATGAGATTTTAGGAGTCATTAAGTGTATAGTTGGCTGACTGACAGAGAACGTTTAGGTCCTGGAATTAGACTGAGACCTTTGAATATACACCAGCTGGAGCATTGACAGTTTTTCCATACACTGAAATTCTCACAAAGTTCCTGCAATGGCACAGACAACATATAACATATTGGGAAACTGATAAAAAGCACTGCTACCTCTTAGCTCCAAAAAGAAAGCCTCACTATAATCCGTAGGCATCAATTCACGGCAAACCCATTCTTAATCACCCCCTTCCCAGCCCTTCCACCCCCAACTCCCCCGTTTCTACTTTTCTGATTACCTCTGGTATTGCTTCTCTTGTTTATCTTCTGTGGCCTGTCTTTAACTCCTGTTACTTCGGATATCCACACCAGGAAACAAAGGACAAAAGTCTAGAATGATACAGTTATGTGTCACTTGAGGCCAAGTTCTTTGATAAAATTTAACTGCTATATAGTTACATAAAGAAATATGGTCCTACTCAAAGTTTTAGACAATTAATTAGCCTCACAATAAGACAGATCATTTTGTGATTATGCTGTTTGAATGGTCACCTCAACTAAACTGGAAAAGAAAGAAATGCTAATTTTTAAAACTGTTCTCTTCAAAATTCTAAAATCTTGTTTTCTAACAGTAATCATAACCAAGGGTGCCACCTACTGGTAAATAAAGGATATTTTAAAAAATTCTGTTCAAAGTACATTCCAAAGCTTTATGCTAGTCCTTCAAATAGGTATTAAAACAAATTACTCATGTCCAAGGTTTCACATATTCACTGTAAGTATTTAAGCAACCACAGCAGATCGATAAATATTAAGTAACTCCTAACACCCTATAAGGAAGAATATTCCATCAATGTCTGTATCCTCACAGGCTTTGTCTTGCCAAAAACATTAGCTTTATTTCTGAAACACAGAAAACTATTATAAATGCTAAACAAAACTGAAATCTATTAAATAATAAAACTTCCTAGTAAACACTGCAAGTACAAGATTAAATTTCAGACTTAAGATTAATTACACTTGGGCTGAGTATGGCAGCTCACACCTGTAATCCTACCACCTTGTTTGAGAGAGCAAGGCTGGAGGATCCCTTGAGCTCAGCCTGAGCGAGAGTGAGATCTTATCTCTACTAAAAAGTAGAAAAATTACCAGGCATTATGATTAGGTGCCTATAATCCCATCTACTTGGGAGGCTGAGGCAGGAGGATCATTTGAACCCAAGAATTTGAATTTGCTAAGAGCTAGGCTGACACCACAGTACATAGGCTATGTACACAGTACATAGGCTGGGCAACAGAGTGAGACACTGTCTTAAAAATCAAAATGGTTAATTACTCTTGTTTTGGTCCAAGAGGTATGCTCAGTTTATTTAACAATCATAGGGGTGCCACACACAATTTTAGCCCTTGAAGATACAATAAAGAACCAGATGCAAGACCTTTGCTATCATGAATCTTTTATTATAGCTCAAGAGACTGATGGTAAACAGATAATTAACGATATAATTAAAGGTTATGAATATGACAAAGAGCGATGGGGTGGGAGGGTGGGAGAGGGGAAATCAGGAAAGGCCTCTCTCAAGTGACGACATCTTCACTGAGACCTGAATGCAGAGAAAGAGGCAGCCAAGTAGATAGTAAGGGCAGAGCATTCCCACAGAGGATTAGCCAGAACAAAGGCCCCAACAAGGAACAAGCCTGGCTGTTAGACTGGACGGCAGGGAGCTGAGTGAGAGCAAAATGAGATGAAATCCAGCAGGCCACGGTAAGGGTATGAACTTTACCCCAAGGGCAATGGGAAGCAACTGAAAGGTTTGAATAAATCATGACCTAATTTATATTTTTAAAGGATTACTCAGGTTGCTGGGTGAAGAATTTTGGATCACAGAAGAGTAGAAGCAGCCAGTCTAGTTAGAATGCTCTGGTCTAAGATTATAGTACAATAACAGCTATAGAGATGACAGCCATAGATGAACAAGGAGCGTATCTTGAAAGCAGAGCCCCACAACTTGCTGATAGTTTAGATAGGATGTGAGAGGGCAGTGAGAGAGAAAAACCAAGAATGCCTCCTTGAGCACAAATGCACGGAAATAAAGTAAATTCAAAGATCATGGCATATGTAATTCATTAATTCATTTATTTGTAGAGATGGGGTCACAATATGTTACCCAGGCTGGGCATAAGTGATCTTCCTGCCTCAGCCTCCTGAATAGCTGGGAATACAGGTATGCTCCATCTGGCAGCATCTGTCAATATTCTAGACATCACTGAGGAAGCAAAGGGGCTCCTAGCATTTAATAAGGGAAGCTTAGTAGTAAACAGGTGGTGGTGCAGAGAAATCAGTGCAACTGAGCCTAGGTGTGACTCCTTCCTGCTTTTGATCTTAAGGAAGTTACCTCTTACCATTTTAACATACTCACAGCATCTGACTGAATGCTAAAAGGTACAAATAATGTCTGAGGAAATACCTGAAGCAAGAATGTTACCCAAAATCAATCCTAATACATAAACATCTTCTCTTCCTTGCCAAATAACCTAGAGGCAGAGGTTTGATAAAGCCAATAACTCCCCCAGCCTGATACACAATGGCACTTATCAGTTTCCATTATCAATTATGACCCAGTTCTATCAGACTTTATGCTAGAACTTCTGAACACTGTTATTTCCTGGATAAGCAATGTTAACGTTTATGATAAAAAATAAACTTCGGATTTCAAAGGACTGTACCAACTAGTAAATATATTTTTGTCACACTCTCAGGGTCCAAAAGTATGTCATTACCCATTTCTGCTACCTTTCAGGAACAAACATGACTACCTTTAGTAGACACTATAATGTTTTATTTAAAAGTATTGGGTAGAATGAAAAAAAATACTACATTAAATGTTTGGTTATGGTTTTATTTTCTTCGACACAGCACAAGCTCCAGCAGAGCAGAACCAGTAGAGCAGCTACTTCCAGCTAGACAAGCGGGATAGCCAACAGATGGCAGAATGAAAGCTTAAGGGAACCCCATCCCCCACCCCAAATCTAATGCCAATGGAATCAGTACTGCTTATTGAAAGATCTCAGTAGTCTGCAGAGCTACTGTGCTGTTTGTTTAATCTAGCTCTGTGTGAAGTACCATTCCCATCACAAACATCATAGGTTCTACAGTTAGACAGACCTGAGTTTTCACCATAGCTCACTGCCACTTACCAGCCTTGCCTTAGGCAAGTTCCTTAGTCCCTAAACTCCACTTTTCCCAGCATTAAAGACAGGATTTAGGCCTAGGTATGGTGGCTTATGCCTATAAACACTTTGGGAGATCAAGGCAATAGGATCACTTGACGTCAGGAATTTGTGATGACCCTAAGTAATATAGCAAGACCCCAACTCTAACAACAACAAAAAATTGGCAGGGGCCAAGCACTGTGGCTCACACCTGTAATCTTAGCCCTCTAGGCCAAAGCAGGGAGTTTGAGCACAGGAGTTTGAGACCAGCCTGATCCTGTCTCCACCAAAATTAGAAAAATTAGCTGAGCCTGGTGGCACATGCCTATAGTCCTAAATACTTAGGAGGCTGAGGCAGGAGGATCACTTGAGCCCAGGAGTTTGAGGTTACAGGGACAAGTTTGAGACAAAATGAGATCCTGTCTCAAAAAAAAAAAAGAAAAAAATTAAAAAGAATGGGGTTTAATGATATTTATACCTCAGTGGGCTGTTTTAATGACATATGCTTCTAAAGGATTCAGCAGGGTGGCTGGCACATGGTGTGAACTATTATTAAGAGGTTCATTAATTTTTTTTCCATTTTAAGTAGTGTATTTTCAAGTTGGAGGATTACAAAGAAAAACTACCCAACTATCCTTGTAACTTTTAGCACTAGTAATTTCAGATTGTAAGATTCCCCAGCAAATTGTTTTTGATAGATCCAAATTGCTTTCTAAAAGATCTACCAATTTATACTTCCATGAGCCAAATGTGACTGCACCCATTTCTGTACATAAAAAAGACTCATGTTAAATTTGTAGGTACTTACACTCAGAAGCACTGAAGAACTAAAGCCAGTTCCCAACCTCAAAATGATCACTGGGACTACACAACAGACACTGGAGAATCTGCCTTTTCCTCCTTTCTCCAAGAGAAGTATTTGTATCTACAAATGTACAGGGAGCAGTCACTTCACTGTGTGGGCTTGCTGTGATTTCTCCTTTGTTCAGATAGTCATCACAGTTAATCTTCACCAACTTTAACAAATGTTTCCTAATGCTGGGTAGATCTCCAATTATGAAAAATGAAGTGTTTTTGAGGCCTTTGAAATAATCTTCTATAAATTCCTTTAATGCAACTTCTGTGTTTTCTCCCCCAAACTTCTGCCATTAGGTGTTCATACTTTTTTTTTAAATTCTTTATTTCAGATCAATATGAGGATACAAACTATTAGGTTATATAATTTACACATGACAGGTAAAAATCAGAATTGTAGCTGTGTCCTCCACCCAGAGAAGGTGCCATATATTCACGCACTGTACCCACTGGATGGGAAGCTACTGAACTTCCTTCCCCCCTCTTGAGTTTGAGATTTTTTTTCTCACATGATTGTTCATCTCCTAGTTTCAAATTGGTATTGAGTAATGTGATGCTTGTTTTTCCAATCTTGCAATACTTTACTTAGGAGAACATTCTCCAAATCCATTCAGGTTGTTATAAAGGTTGCTATAAAGATGCAAAATTTCCATCTTTTTAATGGGCTCAAGGTAGTGTTCCATGGTGTAAGTTTTCAAGCTTTAAAAAAGGGCTAAACTAGGTGGAGCTTCATTTCAGTGAACACAAGAACTTGTAACTTCACACAAACAATTGCGCGTGTGTACATAAGCACAGGGATGTATTCTGTTTATATATTATGTAAATGTGAACTAAATGTCATATGTAATTGCTGAACCAAGTAAAACTCATACTTTCCATGCAAAAATAGAATGTTAAATCTAAAAGGGATATTATAATAATCTCTAGTACAGGCGTCCTCAAATTACAGCCCGCGGGCTGTCCGGTCCGCCAGGTTCTTTTGCCGCCGCTGCCTGTCTTGCTTAGCAGCCGACTAGTCCAGGGGCCCGCAGTCCGGCCCTCCAACAGTCTGAGGGACAGTGAACTGGCCCCCTGTTTAAAAAGTTTGAGGACCCTTGTTCTAGTACAACGCTTTCTTACTTAGAAGAGGAAGGACCACAGAATGTAAATACCCAGCCAAAGCTAATTAGTAACTAGGATTTCGATCAAAGATCTTTTTCAACAGTGCTTTTCTTCTCCCACTACAATGCATTCTTTCTCTACCAGGACAGGAATATGCCTAGTAAAAAAGCAATATGGATGCAATCTGGTTTTACCAAGACAAATCATTTTTATTTGCATTTCAAGACTTCACACAGATAACCCTGCCCAGTAAGACTGTTACTATTAAAAAGAAGCAGCTGAGGTTTATACATGTTAAGTAATTTGGGGCTCTGAAAAAAGACAAGCTCTTCAATGATTTTCCTGGTGTGTTTTCTTAGTTAAGATGTTCAACTCTTTGTATCTCAGTTTGAAGAATAAAATGGAATAACGTCTAAGCCCTCAGAGTTGATGGGAGAATTATACTTAGCGCAATATCTGGCGCATAACAAATCTCCAACTTAAAAAGGTAATGTAATCACTGTTACTACAAATCATTGCAGTTAATAATGTTACATGCCTTCCAGGGCTTAGCCCTTTCGGCAACACAATTTAAGGTATCTGAAGATGTCTGGAAGGAGGAAAAGATGGGCATGTACCTGCAACCAGGAACAATAACAAGCTGAGGGTCACCCTGAACTCAAGGTCACTCCGTGAAGCGAAATTCCACAGGAACTGTTCGTCCGTCACCGGGTCAGGAGGTCGATGAGGCTAAACTGCTCCGGCCGCCTCCTGACACCGAGCAAAGCGGCGCCCCACCTTTCCCCAGCACCAGGTGGATGCTACCTAACGCCTGCTACAACTTTCGGCGGATTGCTTAAGGGTTCTCTAAGACCCCAGCCTACAGGCAGGGCCTTCTCAGCAGCTACAGGTAGGCAGCCCGCAAACGCAGACCAAGTTCCACCGCCCGCGCACTGGAGCCTCCGCGTTCCCGACATGACGTAACAGCAGCGCGAGCGAGCCCCGCATTCTATTGGACGCTGCTGTCCAATGGAAGGAGCGCTACGGAGCGCTGCCGAACAGGAAACGCCGTCTTTTCAGTGTCTCCGCCCCTAGCACCGTCATCTCCGTGGTACCGCTGTCGGTCACCCATTTGGCCACCACCGTCGGTATTGCGTCATTGCCTATGCGCCGGAAACGACTGTTCCTGTAGCGGCGTGGGGGAACTACGCAGGGCCCGGCCGGTACCCACCAAGTTAAACCAACTGAGGAAGTGTCGGGCCGTAGGGGCTTCAGCCCTTCGCTGCCTGCCGGTGACCATGGCAGTGTTTCACGACGAGGTGGAGATCGAAGACTTCCAATATGATGAGGACTCGGAGACTTATTTCTACCCCTGTCCGTGTGGGGACAACTTCTCCATCACCAAGGTAACTTCAGCACCCCGCACGGCAACTCACCGTAGCAGGCGCGTTTTCAATTCGCCGGATGTTCCTTGCGTGGTTCGATCGCCCTTGCGGAGCTGAAGCATGCGTGCCCTCTTTCTTGTTTCTGAATCCTACTCCCTGCCAACCACTACCAAATTAATAACTCGAGCTTCTCGTACACATAGTTTGGGCTTTCACTTAGGCCAGGGAGCGAGTGGGGAGCGTCGGCTCCCTGCTGGATATCCCTCCATCTCCGCCCATAGGGTCCCTTCCTAGGCTACTTTGGTAGAGAGGATGTGTTTTTGTTTCCCAGGGGTTTTGAGGCGGCCGAACCTGACCCATCCTTCCTGGGTCTTACCCCTAAGTGACGCTTCTAGGGGGATATGGAGTGCGGCGTTTCTCGCGGAGAGCTCTTTTGGTTCTCTCACCCACTCAAAGGAGGCAAGCCATCAGGAGACTTGGGTGTAGGTTTGGGGGGAAGAAATGGCGAAGGGGACACTATGCTGACCAAACGGTGTTTGATTTCGTTATAGGAAGATTTGGAGAATGGGGAAGACGTGGCGACGTGTCCTAGCTGCTCTCTCATTATAAAAGTGATTTATGACAAAGTAAGAGATGTCTTTTTAAAAGAGGGGAAAAGGGTTGTGAAGCAATAGCAATGACCTGGAGTAGCCTGTCAGTGATCAGTGCAGGAGAATGTTTCATATCAGTGTGCCAGATAAAGTACAAAACCACTGACTGACAACTGTGTAGTAAATTAAAATTGTAAAAGTTCAAATTATTTTAGCTTTGGAGAGGGTAACAAAGGAAACTGCCCTTTTATGAAAATTATTACTTACTAAATATAAGAAAATTAATTATAAAGATTATTTTAACTGACATTCCTGTACTAGTTCTTATTAAAATTGTTCAGAGCTTCTACGCTTATTTCTAAGGGAACAATTGTATACTAGTACCTTTTTTTTTTTTTTTGAGACAGAGTCTCAGTATGCCACCCTCAGTGCAGTGGTGTCACATCTCACAGCAACCTCAAACTCTTGGGCTTCAGCGATTCTCTTGTCTCAGCCTCCCAAGTAGCTGGGATTACAGGCACCTGCCACAACGCCCGGTTATTTTTGTTTTTGTTGTTGCAGTTGTCATTGTTTGGCTGGGTTGGGACACACCAGCCTTGGTGTATGTGGCTGATACCTTCGCTGCAGAGCTACAGGCGCCAAGCCTATAGTAGTACCTCTTGTCTGTATTTATACACAGAACCCTGTGTTATACAGTTTAAGATACCTAGTTGCAATTTTACAATTTTATTTTCACCTTTAGTTGTTGTATTGTCTTTAATGAAAGAATGTTGACAATAGAAAAAGTACATGTGATTACAGCCTACCCCTGCCCAAAGTTTTGGTTGGTACTTTGAATGGAGTCTTAAGTAAGGAGCTTAACACTCTTAAGCATGAACTCCAAAATGGAGAATAGGGAAATTGGGGATGAGACACAGAGCCTCGTGAAAGAAGCAAACTAAAATTTAGAGTATAATTTGGAAATGTAATGATTCATTCTTTTGTTAAAATGTGCTCCAGAGAAAAAAGTGAATAGGGTAAGGTTCTGGTCTGGGAGGAAGTTGCAGTTTTAAATAGGGTGGGTGATCTTGGCAGGCCTTCTTGAGAAAAGGCCTTACTAAGTGAAGATTTGTAGGCAGTGAAGGAGTCAGTCTTACATATGAGAGGGAAGAGACGCTAGCAAAGGGAACATTCAGTGAAGAAGACCTGAGGGAGGAACATGCCTAGTTTTGTCAAGGAACAAAAATGAAGCCATTATGACGAAAGCAAAGTAAATGCAAGTGAGAGTATTCCAAGATGACATTATTGGAGTGGGACACTTTAAGGACTTGGTTTTTTGCTATGAATGGTGTAGGGAACTATTGGTGGATTTTTGAACAGGATCAAACTTAAATTTTAAAAGAAAGATTCTTACTGCTATGTTGTGAGTAGACAGGGAGAAAGCAAAGGTAGAAACAGGAAAACTAGTTAGGAGGCTGTCACACTAATCAAAGCAGGAGATGGGTGGCTGGGACCAGGCTGTAGCAATGAAGGTAAGTGAGAAATGGTTGGATTCTGGATACACTGAATAACAAGGATTTTCTTAGGCTTTGGATATAGGCCATAAGAGGAGTCAAGGATGATTTCAACATTTGTGACCTTAATAACTAGAAGGATGGAGTTATCAACTGAGGGGGAGGTGACTATAGATGTAGGGGTGGAAGTTGGATATACTGAGTTTGAGAGGCCTCCTAGTCATCTAAGTGGAGCTGTTGAGAAGGGAATTTTTTATGCATGTCTGGAGTTCCGCAGAGAGATTGGCAGGCAATGTAAATTTGAGAGTTACCAGTAATAGATAGCATTAGAGCCATGACACTGGGTGAGATCACCATGGCTGTGAATGTAGGTAAGAGATGGACTAAAGAAAGGACCAAGCCTCCAGGAGCTCCAACATTAAAAGGTCGGGAAGGGAAAGAAGTCATCTAAGTTTACTGAAAAGGAGCAACACCTGAGGAAGGAGAAAAATCAACAGTATCATAGCCTGAACACCAGATGAGAAAAAGTGAAGGAATTGATGATCCTTGTCAGAGGACAATGTAGAAGAAAATCAAGAATTAGCCATTGGTTTTAACAATACAGAGTTGGCTCGGTGCCTGTGGCTCAAGTGGCTAAGGCACCAGCCACATACACCTAAGGTGGTGGGTTTGAATCCAGCCTGGGCCCGCCAAACAACAATGATGGCTGCAACCAAAAAACAGCCAGGCGTTGTGGCAGGCGCCTGTGGTCGCAGCTACTTGGGAGGCTGAGGCAGGAGACTCGCTTAAGCCCAGGTGTTGGAGGTTGCTGTGAGCTGTGATGCCATGGCACTCTACCCAGGGGGCAGCTTGCGGCTCTGTCTCAAAAAAAAAAAATAATAATAATACAGAGTTAACTTGTAATGGTGATGAGAGTAGTTTCTATTGCATAGTAGGAACAGAGCTTGATAGGAGAAATCTGATAGGTGGAAAGCTGGTTGGGGAGAATAGAGAAGAATAGGAGGCATCAAGTATAGGCCTTACTTTCAAGGAGTTTGCTGCAAAGGGAGCAGAGACATGGGGCACTGGTGGTGTTAGAGGTTAAGAGAGAATTTCAGCTCCATGAGTGAATGTAGACACTGACAGTTAGATTTAACCAGAGTTGTGGTTTTGCCAAGTGAATAGGCAGGAATAAGAGAAGAGTAGTTACGATAATTGAGCATGGAATTTGAACTAGATAAAGGGAGTCAGGGGCAGTGAAAAGGTGATAGGATGAATACCCAGGAGGTCCAGGGGGACTGGAACATGGGATTCAGATGGGTAGATGATAGCCACAGAGAGGAATAGTAATGCTGTAATCTCATGATATAAGATTCAAAGTTGTGGGTATTAAACAAGGAAGGAGAATAGAGGCAAAAAGGAGCAGCCAACCCCACTTTTAAGGCCTCTGGAGCTAAGGCTCTAGAGCCACCACTAGAAGAGAATATTGGGAAAACAGTGTTCTTAGAGTGGCTTTGTCACAACCTCAACACTATTGACAGTCTGTGCTTAGTAATTGTCGTGTGGGGCTATCCTCTGTACTTTAGGGTGTTTAGCAGGATCCCTGACCTTTACCCATTAGATGCTAGTAGCACACCCTAGTTCTGTCAACCCCAAAATATTTCCAGACATTACCCAGTGTTCCTTGGGGTCAAAGAGACATTTCAAAGAAGAGGTTGAAAATAACGAGGCATTGTGCTGACAATGGGTGGTGAATTCCAAAGAGCACAGGGGAAGAGTTCCAATTGTTGGGCAACAGAGTGACGGGGACAAAATATGGGTTGATCTTTCAGGGATCAGATTTCAGGAGATGACAGGTAACTTGGGAGACAAGAAATTTCTTGTAGTAACTGACCTAAATCAAGATAGATTGTCAAAAGATTGAACTTCATTTACAAACATAGCAGATTATCTGTTTTGGGAAACACATGAAGAACTGTCCCTTTTAGTTGGAGAAAGTAATTATTTTGAAGACAGATATTTAAGTGACTGAATATTGAAGTGGAAGAGTTTTAGTGTGAGTGATAATTAGAACAGAAACTTAAAAGATGTAACATGTCTTTATGTGGTTTTTGAGAAGTGGTTGCTCTGTAGTAAAGATGGAATGTTCATTTATAGATAAGATGCTTTATGTTAAATAATGAATTCAGGACTAAAAACCAGTATACTTTTAGGATTCTAATTCTGATGCTAACATTGTCTTTTTGAACAAGGATGAAGTGATAATAGCAATGGAAAGACTAAATTAACAGCTGGATTATTAACAAAATGAAAGTTTAATATTAGTGCATTCGTGACATGGAAACTCAGTGGTTAATGTTTCTCGCTCTTAGGATCAGTTTGTGTGTGGAGAAACAATCCCAGCCCCTTCAGCCAACACAGAATTAGTTAAATGCTGAAGAAATCCAAATTTGGAACAGTCGGGAATGAACCAAGATGGAAACATCAAATACACGGTTACAGCTTCTTCGCTGCGACCATCATTTGTGGTTTGCTGTTAAGAGTATGGATTCTTCCCATCAGCTGCTCAGTTTATCTTTAAGAAGTGAGTCCACAACATGCCATACTTGGATTTTGTGCTTAGAAATTTGAATTGGAAATGTTCTTAATTACCCATCTGTATTTAAAGGACAATAATTTCAAATCAGTGCTTTCCTTCCTTCAGTTTCATCTTTTTTTTTATCTTGAACCTGATTAATATTTGATCACAATAGCAACTACCTCAGTCATTAGGATTCCTTAATGAAAAGAGAGATTGTATTTTTGACTTAGTTATCAAGATGATTAAAATTAGTTCTTCCTTTGAAATTTGATATCAGCTTTGCTGTTCCAAATTTAAAATTAGTTGTTTTTTCTGTACTGCCCTTCCAGCTCCTGTACCACAGTAGTCTCCTCTGTCTTGCCATTACCAGAATGTTCATGTCTGTTCAGCATGCCTTTTCTGTTACACCTTAGTGCGCAGAGTTTGGTCATGGTATTAAAGAGAGAATACAGTGAGGTCACAGTTTTGCCAGAGCTAAAAGTTAGTGAACAGGAAAGAAGAATTTCAGAGTGAAAGGATCAAAGAATATGGAGTTTCCTTATATTCTGTATCTTCCTTAGCAGGTAAGACAAAAAGCAAAGCAGATGAAGGAAATAAAATTGGTAACAGAAAGAGAGAAGTAAAATTTGCCAACTTAGTAAGTGAATTACTGATTTTGTGTTTGTTTGTTGAGGCTGATGAAACTGCATACCAGATAGGGTTAATGTCAAGTCTTTATGGCATGCTGGTACCAGTGCTTTCAGCATATTACAATATCCTGTTACTACTCGTAAAAGATAAAACATCTACAACAGAGAATGAACTTGAAAATGGGAGTCTTGTTCTGAATTATTACACCTGTGAGGATACATGGCATAGCAAGCCTTTATAATGTGCAGCCAAACCAGAGGTTCATTCCTGCAGAGAAATGTTGCCCTGAAGAAAAGGAAACATAAACATAAGCTATCAGTCTTCCTTTGCTGCAGTGCTAAGAGTAGCAAGAAATTAGAATGAATTACATGGAATTTGAAAATTCTCTTTATATGCAACTTTGCTGTGTATGTATAAAATTTTTTAAATTCCCTGATGTTGTGGCAGGTTGTTTTGGGAATGGCTCCTGCAATTAGGGAGAAAAATAGCTTGCTAGAACGTGAGTATTTTCTTACTGGTTGGTAAAGGTGCAGCACACTCATTGGAGCTTTAAATTGGAACGAGTGGCCTTTTTACCTGCCAGCAGCGTGACTTGTGTAGCTATGAGGCTGAGATGTATTAAGTCACCAAAAACTGAATACAAAAAGTGCAGGGTACATTATATGGCATGTTGTTGATGTGATGAGATATCTTACTGCTATTTGAGTCACTGATACCCCAGAAGTAGTCCACAACTGCTTTGCAAAAGCAAAGTGACTGCTCAGAAGAACAGAGCATGGTACTTGCCGACTATGGGCATAAGCTATAGAGAGAAATGAACTCTCCCATGCTCATGTTGATAGTTTTCTAGATATCCTAACATGTTAGCTTTCTCTGCTGATGAGAAATTTCAAACAAGGACAGACATTCTTGATGTAGGTCTGCTGTGAGCATAAAAGAACAGGGAGAAAACTTAACAAAGTTCAAGCATCCCAGGAGAAAAGAAGCATAAAGTGATTGGTGATAATGCGGTAGCAATGGGAATGATTTTTTTTTTTTTTTTTAAGCAATTGAGTCACTAAGTTTGTGAACTACAAAAGAACACATCAGGATTTAATCCTGGGTTAAGCAGAAAGTAAAACAGAGTCTTTCAGACATGATTGAAGTTCTGTGTGGCATGTATGTCTTATTTATCCTGAGACACTTCTGGGACATCTTTAAAAACTAATTACTAATCCAGATGGCCTTGTATTAGCTTTGTAGTCTTTGGCAAGACCAGTAGATTCTTCATCTCTACAGTTAGGAGACTGGATCAGGGATTTCTCAGCTGTCAGTTCTCTGATTTTAGGCTTGGTAATTTAGGGGAACAGAAATGGCAATTGAAAAATTTATAAACAAACTATCTAAATCATGAATTATAGAGAAAGACACTCCATTCTTCAGTAACTTGGTGTTACCATCCTGAGTGTTCTGAAAATTATGAAGTCAACTATTTAAATAGATTCTGCATAGACTTCAGTATCACGTTGAGACAGGGAACTGGCAGGTACTGCCTTTGAGTGTTACTGCAGCATTACCTAATTGAGTTGGGAAGTCTGAAAGTGTGAAATTGCCCTGATCAAAATAGGTTAGGAGGGGGCAGGGCAAGTTCCAACCAGTTAAAACCAAGATGGTGGAAAAACATCATCCCTCTATGATTATTCCTCCCCTTGTTTAGTCTGTTGCTTAAATAGACAACAGGAACCAGGGGCCAGTTCTTTTCTGCAGGGAAAGCTATCTGCTCTTGTCTGTGGAGTAGACTTTCTGTGTTTCTACCACGGGGCTTGTTCTCTTCTGCAGAGAGAACTGCCTCTGCTCTGTCTGTAGAATAGACGGCCTAATAGTGTCCTAAAGGTGCCATACATATGTACAACATATACATAGAGGGAAAAGGGGAAATTGTAGCTAAATGTACCTTTATGTATAAAATATTCATTATAAAACTTTATAAAATATTTCTCTACATGTTGATATGTAAATAAGAAATACTAAAAATAGAATATAAAATATGAGTTTAATTTTTCCTACTTATGGTGACCTTTGGGACACCCTGTATAGTTTCTAAATAAATCTCACTTTGACTTTATACTGTTGACTCACTTTTGCACAAAGCCAAGGATCCACTGGACTTGAAGTGGGAGTCTTTTTCCTGTGTCACATTCAGAAACATTTTTCTTTGAAAAAGCACCCCAAATTTTTGAAAACTGTACATAATAATTTATTACTAGAATAAATTGTATTATCATGGTAAATAAAATCAGACAATCAAAATCCATGTGTTTTCATGTAATTTTTTTCCTAATGATCAACATTTTGAATTAAAGGATTTTATTGAAATGATATTATTTGAGGTAGAAATGTGTCTTAACCTCTTTGGGGCATTGTAAATGGCTTTCTTGTGTGGGCAGTTGATTTTTTAAATAAGGAAATTTCCACTGTTTCTATCATTTGGGCTTTGGGTTTTTTGTTGTTATTTGAGGGAAAAAATAGCTGAGTCAAGTGGTAGTAAGGCAAAGAAAGTTGGCATTCCTGGATGAGTAATTTAGTTATTGCCAGGAGTAAAGGCTGATACTTTATTTGAGGCTAATGATCAATCCAGGGAGTGGTTTGAGAGCCCAGTTCTGGTCAGGACCCAGCTTGAATCGTAATATCTCACTACAAGTTAGTTTTTATGTCCTGGTTTGTGAAATGTAGACCATAATTGTACCTCTTTCATAGAGTTGCTGGGTGAACTCATCTAGCAAGTGCTTGGGGAGTACCTGTGCTAGGCACTGGGTGAAGATGACGGAGTGTCTGCCTTCTTGGACCGTACATGCAATTGGAAGAGACAGGAAATAAGATTAGACTGTGGTTAGACTCCCCCAAGGAAACAAACCAGGAAATATGAGGGAGTAACTAGATCAGATGACTTTTTTTTTATTTTTTTATTTTTTTATTTTTTATTGAATGGTAACTGTGTACATTGATGCACTTTGGGGGTACAGTGTGGTGTTTTCATACACAATCCAAGACACTTCCATCAAACTGGTTA